ATATATATATATATATAATATATATATATAATATTATATGCAATAAGATCACAGTAAACAGGTGATTTAAAATATGCAAAACAACCACTGTGAAAGAGTGGTGATATTCCAAGCGCTTTCGTGACTACTCGCATTGTCAAGGAGTCTCGAAGTGGGCGAAATCGCCCACTTCGAGACCGCTAACTTCGCGAGAGCATAATTCCGTAAGTTTTCATTCAAATTTCATACTTTTGGTGTCATTATGATCAGAAAAAGATTCTCTGTCATTTCATAAGAAAACACTTTTTTTTTTTCAAAACTTTTTCAACCCTGAGAACAAGTTTGGGAGAGGGCCTCTCGACCCTCAATGGGTTAAGTGTAGACAGGTGAGAAGTGTACTAGTAGTGGTTACCAATGTTTTGCTCATGGTAGTGCCAACTACTAGCAGCTTTATGAAGTTTCTTCTTACTGTTGTTAATTATTATTATTATTATTACAATGTATTATTATTATTAGTACGTACGTGGTGATGGGCACTTGATCTATGCAACTGTATCTGTGCTCCAGTTCCTTAATTAATAATAGTAATAATAATAATAATACGTATGAAATAATAATAATTATAATACTCATGCAATAATAAAAATAATAATAATAATAATACGTACGTACTAAGAATAATAATAATACAACATAATAAGAACATAAGAAAGGAGCACTGCAACAGGCCTACTGACCCATGCGAAGCAGGTCCATGCCACCCCCCGGGCCTAGAACAATGACCACCTAGTCAGGTCACTTCCACTTAAGGAAGGAGCACAGCACCAGATCTGGTACCTCAAGTTAGTCAGGTCCATCTCACACCCACCCACACACACTCATGTATTTATCCAACCTATTTTTAAAACTACATGAGGTCTTAACTTCCATGATGGTACTCAGGAGTTTGTTCCACTCATCAACAACTCTATTACCAAACCAGTGTTTCCCTATGTCCTTCCTGAATCTGAACTTTTCCAACTTGAAACCATTGTTGCGAGTCCTGTCTTGGCTGGATATTTTTAGCATGCTATTTACACCCCCTTTATTTATTCGTGTTTTCCATTTATACACCTCAATCATATCCCCCCTAATTCTACGCCTTTCTAGAGAGTGCAGATTCAGGGCCCTCAGTCTATCCTCATAGGGAAGATTTCTGATACATGGGATCAACTTTGTCATCCTCCTCTGTATGTTCTCCAGTGCATTTATATCCATTCTGTAATACGGTGACTAGAACTGTGCAGCATAATCTAAATGAGGCCTAACCAAGGATATATAGAGTTGAAGAACAACCTGAGGACTTCTATTATTTATACTTCTTGATATGAAGCCAAGGATTCTGTTAGCTTTATTGCGAACACTTATGCACTGTTGTCTTGGTTTCATATTACTGCTAACCAGAACTCCTAATCCTTTTTGCAATAAGTAGTATTAAGATCTACACTATTCAGTTTATAAGTGGCATGGTTATTGTCCTTTCCAACATTTAGCACTTTGTATCTGTCAATATTAAACAGCATCTGCCACTTCTCTGACTACTGCCTTAGTCTATTCAAATCATCCTGGAGTGCTCTAATGTCCTCATTAGAATGAATTGGACGGCCTATTTTGGTGTCATCAGCAAATGTGCTTATGTCGCTATTTATTCCCTCATCTATGTCGTTTATGTAAATTGTGAACAACAAGGGGCCCAACACTGACCCCTGTGGAACACCATTTGTGACATGCTCCCATTCTGATTTCTCCCCATTTATGCAAACTCTTTGCTGCCTATTTGTCAACCACGCCTCTACCCAGGGAAAAATTTCTCCTCCTATTCCGTGTGCCTTAAGTTTCCTCAAAAGTCTCTGATGTGGAACTCTATCAAAAGCCTTACTGAAGTCCATATACACAATATCACATTCATTACCATGATCTACCTCCTCAAACACCTTAGCGAAAAAAGTTAGTAAATTCGTAAAACAGGAACGCCCCTTAGTAAAACCGTTTTGAGATTCACTCACCAATTTATGCCTATCAAGATGGCTACGAATTGCCTCGGCGATTATTGGTTCCATAAATTTTCCCACTATGGAGGTAAGGCGGCTTATTGGTCTATAGTTCGAAGCTAAGGACCTGTCACCTGCCTTGTAAATAGGTATTGCATCTGCCATTTTCCACTTATCAGGCACTATGCCAGTCTGTAGTGATATGTTGAAAAGATTAGCCAAAGGTTTGCAAAGTTCCTCTTTACATTCCTTCAAAACCCTTAAAAACAATTCATCAGGGCCCTTGATTTGTTTGGTTTTAATTTCTCTATTTGTCTGAGGACCATGTCACTAGTTACTGCAGTCGTGCATAGTTTATTATCGTCATGTTCTACATAAGTTATTATTTCTGGAATTTCACTAGTATCTTCCTGAGTAAAGAATGAGAGGAAGTAAGAATTGAAAATTTCACACATATCCCTATCATTGTCAGTGAACTGACCTGAGCTACTCTTAAGTGGGCCTATCTTGTCTCTAATCTTACTTCTGTATACAGTGGACCCCCGCATAATGATCACCTCCGAATGCGAACAATTATGTAAGTGTATTTATGTAAGTGCGTTTGTACGTGTTTGTTTGGGGGCTCTGAAATGGACTAATCTACTTCACAATATTCCTTATGGGAACAAATTCGGTCAGTACTGGCACCTGAACATACTTCTGGAGTGAAAAAATATCGTTAACCGGGGGTCCACTGTACCTGAAAGAACCCTTTTGTGTTAGTCTTCAAATCCCTTGCTACCTTAGCCTCATAATCCCTTTTTGCTTTTCTTATTCCTTTTTTTTTATTTCTCTCTTAAATTGAATATATTGATTTCTTAACTGCCCATCCCCTCTTTTGATATGCCTAAAAATGCCTCTCTTTTGATCAATTAGATGTTTTAATCTATTGTTCATCCATTTGGGATCATTTTTGTTAGATCTAATTTACCTACTCGGAACAAAAGTTGACTGAGCAGCTAGAACTATGCTCTGAAAAATGTCATATCGGCAACCAACACCAGCTACCTGACCCATAGTCAGATCATCCCAATTTAGCCCACCCAGGTAATTTTTCAGTCCCATGAAATCAGACAATCAAAAGTCTAGGAGAGACCTGATTGCAGTTTACTGGGTAATTCCATAATATATTGAAACTAAGTGATTTGTGATCGCTTTCCCCAAGCTCATCATTAACCGCAAGATTATTAATTAGTAATCTTTGTTGGCAAGAACCAAGTCAAGCAGATTGTTTCCTCTAGTTGGTTCTGTCACAAACTGTTTTAAAAAGCAATCCTGAACTGTATCAAGAAAGTCACTAGAATCAAGATTTCCTGTCAAATTGTTCCAATCAATTTGTCTAAAGTTAAAATCCCCCATTAACACAACATTTTCATATCTACACGCCTTATGAATTTCATCCCATAGCAGCTTACCGCACTCCCTATCAAGGTTTGGGGGCCTATATATCACATCCAAAATTAATTTTTCATACCCCTCGAGAAACTGTAGCCAAACAGATTCTGTGTCCGATGTTTCTATTCTTATATTATGTCTAACACAACAATTTAAATTATCTCTGACATACATCGCCACTCCACCACCTTTCCTGTTGACCCTATCAGTGTGGAATAGTTTATAACCCTTTATGCTGCATTCAGAAGGCATTTCTCTATCCTTCAAGTTGAACCAGGTCTCAGTTATAGCAATAATATCTATATTACCTGCACTTGCTAGTAATCTTAGCTCATCTATCTTATTTCTTAGGCTCCTACTATTTGTATAGTAAACCTTAACCCCTTCAGGGTCCAAGGCCAAAATCTGAAGTGGTGCCCCAGTGTCCAAGAATTTAAAAAAAAAAAAAAAAAAAAAAAATTGTTATTTTTTCTTATGAAATGGTAGAGAATCTTTTTGTGAAGGTAATAAAATAAAAAGTACGAAATTTCATGGAAAATTGACGAAATTATGCTCTCGCAAATTTTGATGTGTCAGCGATATTTACGAATCGGCGATTTTGCCGACTTTGACTTCCATTTTAGGCCAATTACATTATTCCAGTTGACCAAATTCTTAGCTATTTCACTAGTATTGCTTCTATTCTATCGACTGAGCACAAGAAATCGCCAAGTCAACTGTTTCAACTACAAAATAAAGTGACTGGAAATTGGTAATTTGGTCAATTTAACACAAAGTTCAAAATATTCCAATTTCAAAATAGGGTCCAGAACAAACAATGTAGGTATTCCTGGCACTAAACTAACATTTCCTTTTCCTCTGTTCATTACTTACGTTTTGAGGCTTTACAAATAAATTCCATTTTGATTTTTTATTCATATAATGAATTTTTATTCACACCAAAAAGTAGAAGATTTACTGTTATGCAATATTGTAATAATTGTATAAATATCATCACCACATTTGTGAATGTATATTAGACCCACCAGCTGGCGTGTATTAGACGTGTGAGGTCGTTTGTTTACTCTTGAACATCGGCAAAAATTTAACATTTCCGCTACTTTGAGCTCAGTTTCAAGCCATTTCCATTGCTAAAACCAATCAAAATCATCTCTATTTCTGTAATATGTCTTCCATTCTATCAAATGAGATCAAGAAATCGCAAATACAACTATAAAACATACAAAAAGAAAATCATGGTCTCAGTTTTTTTTCTCATTATACACAGTGTGCTGCAGTATTTGTTTTATGTGGTGCACACATACCACATAGATGTATTCTCTCATATCTAGGCCCAAATGTACCACTCACAGTTTATCAGAGTGAGCTGAGCTCATGGCGTAGATCTACTGTTTAGACCCTGAACGTAAAGCCGTAGATCTACGGGACGGACCCTGAAAGGGTTAAGGGAGCTAGTCTCTCATTGCCCTCTACTATCTCTCTCTGTTGATCAGTTGCTTTGTCTTTATTAGGAACTTTATTTTGAATATTGTCTTTTAAACATATCCCTGAGGTATTCTGGTAGTACTGGCGAATAAAAAAAAAAAAAAAATCAGCTGTTTTCAACAATAATACTGCAGCTTGACTGTTTCCCACATACACCCATACTTCTATAATCTATCAGTCCTAAACAAGTCATCAATTATTCCCTCAATCAAATTGGCTAATGCAACCACTCCAGCCCCAGAGAGATGAACCCCATCCCTTACATATATGTAAAGTAAAAGGACACAAGTGCAACTAATGTGACATTTTATTGTGGCAACATTTCGCTCTCCAGGAGCTTCGTCAAGCCGTTATGGCTTGACAAAGCCATAACGGCTTTGAGTAGGAACTTTTGAGCCAAGTGAGAGAGTAATTGTGGTAAGGGACCTAAATGCTAAAGTAGGAGAAGTGTTTAGAGAGGGTGTAGTAGGTAACCTTGGGGTGCCAGGTGTAAATGATAATGGGAAGCATTTGATTGAACTTTGTATAGAAAGAGGTTTGGTTATAGGTAACACATATTTTAAGATAAAGAGGATAAATAAGTATACAAAATATGATATAGGGCAAAATTACAGTAGTAGTTGGTTGATAAAAGACTGTTGGGTAGATTTCAGGATGTACATGTTCACAAAGGAGCCAAAGATACTGTATATCACATCACTTTTTAGTTGTAGCTATAGTGAGAGTAAAAGGTAGATGGGATACAAGGAGAATGAAAACAGCAAGTAAGAGAGAAGTGAAGATTTATAAACTAAAGGAGGAGGCAGTTAGGGTAAGATATAAACAACTGTTGGAGGGCAGATGGGCTAGTGAGAATACAGGCAATGGGGTAGATGTATGGGGTAAGTTTAAGAATATAATGTTAGTGTTCAGCAGAAGTTTGTGGTTATAGGAAAGTGGGTGTGGGAGGGAAGAAGAGTGATTGGTGGAATGATGATGTGAAGAGAGTAGCAAGAGAGAAAAAGTGAGCATATGAGAGGTTTTTAGAAAGTAGAAGTGATGCAAGGAGGAAGGAGTATATGGAGAGGAAGAGAGTGGTGAAGCAATGTAATAAGAGAGCAAATGAGAGGGTGGGTGAGATGTTACCAACAAATTTTGTTGAAAGTAAGGAAAAGTTTTGGAATGAGATTAATAAGTTGAGGAAGCCTAGGAAAAGAATGGATTTGTTAGTTAAGAATAGGAAATGAGAGTTATTAATCCTTTGATTGCTTTGGTCGTATATATACATCTTACGAGCCAATGTGTTTGACGTATATATACTCAAAAATTCTAGCGGCTTGAAATCAAGCGGGAGAAAGCTGGTAGACCCACATGTGAGAGAATGGGTCTGTGTGGTCAGTGTGCAATGTATAAAAAAAATCCTTCAACAAGCAGTGCATAATGAGAAAAAAAAAAACTCCGACCGTGTTTTTGGATTAAAGCGCAGACTTTGAGGTGTATTTTCGTATAGCATTTATGGTTGTATTCTCGTTTTCTTGGTCTCATTTGATAGAATGGAAAACATATTACAGAAATAGAGATGATTTTGATTGGTTTTACTATGAAAAGGACCTTGAAATGGAGCTCAAAGTAGGGGAAATGTTTGATTTTTGCAGATGTTCAAGAGTAAACAAATGACTAACATTATCCAATAAATGTCCAACTAGCCATTCTAATATGCAGTCATGAATTGGTTGACATTATTTATACAATTATTACAATATTGCTGTAGTCTGCATAACAGTAAATCTTCCATTTTTTGTTTGAATTAAAATTCAAAATGGAAAGCAAGAGTAATATCAGAGGGGGCCTGGAGATGTGACTGATAAACAAAGAAAACGTTATTTTAGATCCAGGAATGTCTGCATTGTTCATTCTGGAACCTATTTTGAAATTGGCATAGTTTTTAATTTGTGTGAAATTGGCCAAATTGCCAATTTCTGACCACTGTATTGGGTAGTTCAAATTGGTAAATGGGCAGTTTCTTGTACAGGTCCCCCTCAACATTCACGTTTTCAGCTTTCGCAGGCTTCACACATTCGCGAATTCCCAACCGCCAAATTCCCAGCCACCAAATTCCCAGCCGCCAGATCATATTCAAGTTTCCTGCCACCTGCGAGTCCCTACTACCCTCCCACCGACCCCCGCAACTGGCAGCCAGCCCTCCTACCACTCAGTGTGGTGAGTGTTTTGTTAGTTCATTATTTGCTGTTAAACTACAGTATAAATAATGTAAACCCATTCTTGACTGCATATTGGAATGGGTATTCGGACAGGTATTAGACGGTGACATCATGTGTTTACTCTTGAACACAGCAAAGAATCAAACATTTCTGCTACTGCTAATAATAACAATAGTAATAATAATAATAATAATAATAATAATAATAATAATAATAATAATAATAATAATAATAAAAATAATAATAATAATAATAATAAATACGATATAATTGAAGAAGGAAGTTGTACAAAAATATGAGGGAGTGGTTGACACATCGTCAGTGTGACTTTGTTTATGCTGGAGTGAACATTAGTCTCCGTGCTCTTCCAAACATTTCACAAAAATTCATTGTGTTTGGTGCTTGTAGATTGAGTGTGACTGGAGTGGTAGAGGCAGTGGTTGAGGCAGCAATTGAGGCAGTGGGTGAAGCAGCTGTTGAGGCAGCGATTGAGGCAGTGGGTGAGGCAGCTGTTGAGGCAGCGATTGAGGCAGTGGGTGAGGCAGCTGTTGAGGCAGCGATTGAGGCAGTGGGTGAGGCAGCTGTTGAGACAGCGATTGAGGCAGTGGTTGAGGCAGCTGTTGAGGCAGCGATTGAGGCAGTGGGTGAGGCAGCTGTTGAGGCAGCAATTGAGGCAGTGGTTGAGGCAGCTGTTGAGGCAGCGATTGAGGCAGTGGGTGAAGCAGCTGTTGAGGCAGCGATTGAGGCAGTGGTTGAGGCAGCTGTTGAGGCAGCGATTGAGGCAGTGGTTGAGGCAGCTGTTGAGGCAGCGATTGAGGCAGTGGTTGAGGCAGCTGTTGAGGCAGCGATTGAGGCAGTGGTTGAGGCAGCTGTTGAGGCAGCGATTGAGGCAGAGGTTGAGGCAGCTGTTAAGGCAGCGATTAAGGCAGTGGGTGAGGCAGCGATTGAGGCAGCGATTGAGGCAGTGGGTGAGGCAGCTGTTGAGGCAGCGATTGAGGCAGTGGTTGAGGCAGCTGTTGAGGCACTGGTATTTAATAACATACATGTTATTAATAATAATAATACATGTTATTAATAATATATACTATTATTTATAACATATATGTTATTAAATACCACTGCCTCAACTGCTGAATTATTGTGAAATGTTTGGAAGAGCAGGGAGACTAATGTTCACTCCAGCATAAACAAAGCCACACTGACGATGTGTCAACCACTCCCTCGTATTTTTGTACAATTTCCTTCTTCAATTATATCGTATTATTATTATTATTATTATTATTATTATTATTATTATTATTATTATTATTATTATTACTACTACTATTGTTATTATTAGCAGAAGCAGAAATGTTTGATTCTTTGCTGTGTTCAAGAGTAAACACATGATGTCACCGTCCAATACCTTTCTGAATAGCCATTCCAATATGCAGTCATGAATGGGTTTACATTATTTATACTGTAGTTTAATAGCAAATAATGAACAAACAAAACACTCACCACACTGAGTGGTGGGAGGGCTGGCTGCCAGTTGCGGGGGTCAGAGGGAGGGTAGTAGGGACTCGCAGTGGTTGAGGAAGTGGTGGAGGCAGTGGAGGAGTCTGTGGTATTTAATAACATACATGTTAGTAAAACATAACATGTATATATTTAGTACAATTTACGACGTTTTCATGTATTTTATGTTTGTTCATGGTTCAACAAGTTAAGGAAGCAGTATTGTATTATATTTCCCTACAATATATTGGGGCACCAAACATTCACGGTTTTTCAACATTCGCGAGGCTCTTGATCCCCTAACCCTCACGAATGTTGAGGGAGACCTGTACTCAGTCGATAGAACAAGTGGAGTTCTAAAGAAATAGCTATGAGTTTGGTTGACTGGAACAATGGAATTAGCCAAAAATAGGGTTCAAAGTGGGTGAAATCGCCAATTCGTAAATATCGCTGAGGTCGCTAACTTCGCGAGACCGTAATTCAGTAAGTTTTCCATCAAATTTCGTACTTTTGGTGTCATTACCTTCAGGAAAAATTCTCTATCATTTCATAAGAAAAAATAATTTTTTTTTTCAAATATTTTTCGGGACCAGGAGACAACTCAGGATTGGAGTTGCGACAGTCAAAGGGTTAAATGGAGAGTTAGAGGTATCAGGAAGATGGAGGGAATATTTTGAGGAATTGTTAAATGTTGTTGAAGATAGGGAAACTGTGATTTCATGCATAGGGCAAGGAGGAATAACATCTTATAGGAGTGAGGAAGAACAAGTTGTGAGTGTGGGGGAGGTGCATGAGGCAGTGAGTAGAATGAAAGGGGGTAAAGCAGCTGAGATTGATGGGTTAAAGACAGAAATGTTAAAGGCAGGTGGGGATATAGTTCTGGAGTAGTTAGTGTTTTTATTTAATAAATGTATGGAAGAGGATAAGGTACCTAGGGATTGACAGTTCCTTTGTATAAAGGCAAAGGGGACAAATGAGAGTGTAAAAATTATAGGGGAATAAGTCTGTTGAGTACACCTGGTAAAGTGTATGGTAGAGTTATTATTGAAAGAATTAAGAGTAAGATGGACAGCAGGATAGCAGTTGAACTAGGAGGCTTTAGGAAGGGTAGGGGGTGTGTAGACCAAGTGTTTGCAGTGAAACATATAGGTGAAGAGTATTTAGATAAGGGTAAAGAGGTATTTGTGGCATTTATGGATTTGGAAAAGGCATATGACAGGGTGGATAGGGGGGCAATGTTACAGATGTTGCAAATGTACGGAATACGAGGTAGGTTATCGAAAGTGGTGAAAAGTTTTTATGAGGATAGGCTCAGGTTAGAGTATGCAGGCGAGAGGGAGATTATTTCCCAGTAAGAGTAGGCCTTAGACAGGGATGTGTGATGTCACCATGGTTGTTCAATATATTTATAGATAGAGTTGTAAGAGAAGTGAATGCTTGGGTGTTGGCAAGAGGTGTGGGGTTAAAAGATAAAGAATTTAACACAATGTGGGAGTTGTCACAGTTGCTCTTTGCTGATGACACTGTGCTTTGGGGGGATTCCGAAGAGAAGTTGCAGAGGTTGCTTGATGAGTTTGGTCGGGTATGTAAAAGAAGGAAATTAAAAGTGAATATAGGAAAGAGTAAGGTGATGAGGATAACAAAAAAATTAGGTAACGGAAGACTGAATATCAGATTGGAGGGAGAGAGTATGAAGGAGATGAATGTGTTCAGATATTTGGGAGTGGATGTGTCAGCAGATGGGTCTATGAAGGATGAGGTGAATCACAGAATTAACGAGGGGAAAAAGGTGAGTGCTGCACTGAGGATTCTGTGGAGACAAAGAACTTTATCCATGAAAGCAAAGAGGGAAATGTATGAGAATATATACCAATGCTTTTGTATGGGTGTGAGGCACAGGTTGTGAATGTTGTAACATGGAGAAGGCTGGAGGCAGTGGAGATGTCATGTCTGAGGGCAATGTGTGGTGTGAATATAATGCAGAGAATCCGTAGTCTGGAGATTAACCCGTAAACGGTCCAAACGTATATATACGTTTTTTCAACATTTGAAAGTATGTAAAAAAAAGTAGATCTTCTTTTTGTTTTTTTACATTTGAAAATTGTATAAAAAACTTTGATCTACTTTTTTTGTTATACAGTGGACCCCCGCTTAATGATCAGCTCCCAATGCGACCAATTATGTAAGTGTATTTATGTAAGTGCATTTGTACATGTATGTTTGGGGGTCTGAAATGGACTAATCTAATTCACAATACATGTATTCCTTATTTTTTTTTTTATTTATTATCACACTGGCCGATTCCCACCAAGGCAGGGTGGCCCGAAAAAGAAAAACTTTCACCATCATTCACTCCATCACTGTCTTGCCAGAAGGGTGCTTTACACTACAGTTTTTAAACTGCAACATTAACACCCCTCCTTCAGAGTGCAGGCACTGTACTTCCCATCTCCAGGACTCAAGTCCGGCCTGCCGGTTTCCCTGAATCCCTTCATAAATGTTACTTTGCTCACACTCCAACAGCACGTCAAGTATTAAAAACCATTTGTCTCCATTCACTCCTATCAAACACGCTCACGCATGCCTGCTGGAAGTCCAAGCCCCTTGCACACAAAACCTCCTTTACCCCCTCCCTCCAACCCTTCCTAGGCCGACCCCTACCCTGCCTTCCTTCCACTACAGACTGATACACTCTTGAAGTCATTCTGTTTCGCTCCATTCTCTCTACATGTCCGAACCACCTCAACAACCCTTCCTCAGCCCTCTGGACAACAGTTTTGGTAATCCTGCACCTCCTCCTAACTTCCAAACTACGAATTCTCTGCATTATATTCACACCACACATTGCCCTCAGACATGACATCTCCACTGCCTCCAGCCTTCTCCTCGCTGCAACATTCATCACCCACGCTTCACACCCATATAAGAGCGTTGGTAAAACTATACTCTCATACATTCCCCTCTTTGCCTCCAAGGACAAAGTTCTTTGTCTCCACAGACTCCTAAGTGCACCACTCACTCTTTTTCCCTCATCAATTCTATGATTCACCTCATCTTTCATAGACCCATCCGCTGACACGTCCACTCCCAAATATCTGAATACGTTACCTCCTCCATACTCTCTCCCTCCAATCTGATATTCAATCTTTCATCACCTAATCTTTTTGTTATCCTCATAACCTTACTCTTTCCTGTATTCACCTTTAATTTTCTTCTTTTGCACAACCTACCAAATTCATCCACCAATCTCTGCAGCTTCTCTTCAGAATCTCCCAAGAGCACAGTGTCATCAGCAAAGAGCAGCTGTGACAACTCCCACTTTGTTTGTGATTCTTTATCTTTTAACTCCACGCCTCTTGCCAAGACCCTCGCATTTACTTCTCTTACAACCCATCTATAAATATATTAAACAACCACGGTGACATCACACATCCTTGTCTAAGGCCTACTTTTACTGGGAAAAATTTTCCCTCTTTCCTACATACTCTAACTTGAGCCTCACTATCCTCGTAAAAAACTCTTCACTGCTTTCAGTAACCGACCTCCTACACCATACACTTGCAACATCTGCCACATTGCCCCCCTATCCACCCTGTCATACGCCTTTTCCAAATCCATAAATGCCACAAAGACCTCTTTAGCCTTATCTAAATACTGTTCACTTATATGTTTCACTGTAAACACCTGGTCCACACACCCCTACCTTTCCTAAACCCTCCTTGTTCATCTGCTATCCTATTCTCCGTCTTACTCTTAATTCTTTCAATTATAACTCTACCATACACTTTACCAGGTACACTCAACAGACTTATCCCCCTATAATTTTTGCACTCTCTTTTATCCCCTTTGCCTTTATACAAAGGAACTATGCATGCTCTCTGCCAATCCCTAGGTACCTTACCCTCTTCCATACATTTATTAAATAATTGCACCAACCACTCCAAAACTATATCCCCACCTGCTTTTAACATTTCTATCTTTATCCCATCAATCCCAGCTGCCTTACCCCCTTTCATTTTACCTACTGCCTCACGAACTTCCCCCACACTCATAACTGGCTCTTCCTCACTCCTACAAGATGTTATTCCTCCTTGCCCTATACACGAAATCACAGCTTCCCTATCTTCATCAACATTTAACAATTCCTCAAAATATTCCCTCCATCTTCCCAATACCTCTAACTCTCCATTTAATAACTCTCCTCTCCTATTTTTAACTGACAAATCCATTTGTTCTCTAGGCTTTCTTAACTTGTTAATCTCACTCCAAAATTTTTTCTTATTTTCAACAAAATTTGTTGATAACATCTCACCCACTCTCTCATTTGCTCTCTTTTTACATTGCTTCACCACTCTCTTAACCTCTCTCTTTTTCTCCATATACTCTTCCCTCCTTGCATCACTTCTACTTTGTAAAAACTTCTCATATGCTAACTTTTTCTCCCTTACTACTCTCTTTACATCATCATTCCACCAATCGCTCCTCTTCCCTCCTGCACCCACTTTCCTGTAACCACAAACTTCTGCTGAACACTCTAACACTACATTTTTAAACCTACCCCATACCTCTTCGACCCCATTGCCTATGCTCTCATTAGCCCATCTATCCTCCAATAGCTGTTTATATCTTACCCTAACTGCCTCCTCTTTTAGTTTATAAACCTTCACCTCTCTCTTCCCTGATGCTTCTATTCTCCTTGTATCCCATCTACCTTTTACTCTCAGTGTAGCTACAACTAGAAAGTGATCTGATATATCTGTGGCCCCTCTATAAACATGTACATCCTGAAGTCTACTCAACAGTCTTTTATCTACCAATACATAATCCAACAAACTACTGTCATTTCGCCCTACATCATATCGTGTATACTTATTTATCCTCTTTTTCTTAAAATATGTATTACCTATAACTAAACCCCTTTCTATACAAAGTTCAATCAAAGGGCTCCCATTATCATTTACACCTGGCACCCCAAACTTACCTATCACACCCTCTCTAAAAGTTTCTCCTACTTTAGCATTCAGGTCCCCTACCACAATTACTCTCTCACTTGGTTCAAAGGCTCCTATACATTCACTTAACATCTCCCAAAATCTCTCTCTCT